TTCATCTGTGCATTAACATCAGGTTTAATGAGTTTAGGAGCCTTTGCAGCAACGATGGTAATCTTTTTACAATTAACATCAGAATTAATGAAAAGTCAAACTTCAAGATTATTACCAATCAAAGGAGAAATTTTAATTGAAACTTATTTACCTTTAATTGGATCGATTTTAATCATAATCTCATCTATATTTTTCTTTAATAAATTTTTAGAAGGTTTACGTGATTATAGAAGATCAGATCAAGATGAATTTCTTTCAGGTCATAATCGTACTTATTGGTCACAATTCTTAAGACGTAAATCTGGTAGTCATAAAGGAAAAGAAGAGATTGAAGATAAAGGTAAAGAAGAAATTAAAGATAAAGGAAAAGGAAAAGTTGAAGAAGAAGTTCAATCTGAATCAGGTCAAAGTAATTTACCACCACCACCTCCTCTGCAAGATGATCCAACACCAAAAAAGAAAAAGAGAAAGAGTGTTTCAAAAGCATCTTGACCTTCAAGTTCTCACATTCATTATTGGCTGAAGTGTTTGTAATTTTCTCAAAAAGATTCTCTCTCATTTAAAACAATTATATCTTATACATTTATGTACATTCCTTTGAATAAATTCGTCAACTTCTTGTAAACTTTCATTTCCTTTCTTTGTTTTTACACAACCAACTGCAACATTCTTTTGTGAAAAATCAATGAACTTGTCCTTAAAGAACAATTCAATAGCTCAATTAAAAGCAAATTTTCTTACCTTGGATCAAAATCAAAAAACCCTTACTTATCTTTTGAGAAAAAGAATCAAATTCTCTGAAACCTTGCCAATCTTTTATTCTATCTTTAAAAGAATCCAACTGCTACAACCTTCTTTCAATCCTCCTAATTATAATCAAGGAAAGTACATCAAGGTAAAAAAGGATACCATTCTCAAAGCATCATACCCCAGTATCATTGCAACCAAGCACAGCCATCTTGAGTTGAACCCACAATGAACCATTGTACAAGTCTTCCCCAATTGAATGTGGTGTGATTCATGACATGTATCTGTCAATAAACAGATTCAAATGATACATATATTTTCAATTTTTTCCTTTGACAAGGTTTTTGCTTTAACTTTGTTAAGCTAAGTTCTTGCTAAAGAACCAACCTATAATCATTGTGATCTTCATGATTATGAAAAGCCCATGCTTTGTCATTGTGTCACTCACTCTTCAAGTTCCAGGACTGTACATGATGATCTCATGACTGGTTATAAATTATAAATAGAAGAATGTTATGCCTTGGCCTGTGTGGTAGCTTGGTGCCAAAGGTTATTAGACTAAAGAGAAACCATCTTTCAAGAAAAGAGTTGTTGATGTCTAAAATTTTGTGTAATTGAACTAACAGGTCAGACCCTTGGTTTGTCTGTATCACAACTATGATCCCATGACTGTTCACCACCATACCAAAATCATTCTGATCATGTTCATTGTCTTCATCCATTATAAGTTTTTCTCTACTTATACTTTTGCACCCACCCACCCTTTTTATCCCATTTTTGGCTTTATGATACTGTTATGATTTCAAGTCCTTTTTGGCATTTGCATGTTTTATTTGCATACAATGTCTGTGGTCTCTTCTTTCTAATATAAAATGTCAAGAAGATATAAGAAGGCACTTTTTCTTTGTGCGGGTTTCATTATAAATTTAATGTACTAGGGGTTGGGCAAAAAACTTATCAACCAGTTTTTCAACTTCAACAAGTCAATAAAAGAGAGTCAAAAAGTGTATGTACAGGTTTCCAAGATCTGTTGCCTTTCAGAGTTACACAGTAGTTACCCAAATTAAGTTTTGAGGTCTGTTCCAATCCCTGTAGATTGATCAACACATTCCCACCTCATTTACCTCTTCAACCACATTTCTGTTCCCAATTTGGTGCAAGGTTCTTCAGATAGTTAATAAACTCATCTTCATGCAAGTCTCCTGATCTCATCTCAAGAAATCAAACAACTTAAAGCAAGCTGATTTTTTATTTTTTTGAAACAGACCTATACCAGTGACATCATCACAAATCAAATCAGAGCTGAGCTTCAAGAGAGCCTAAGCAATACCTGGCTAAATGTTTGATAAAACAGTTGGAGCCATAAATTTGTAAAAGGTGAAAGTTGAAAAGTGTGGTTTGTGTGGCTTGTGGAGCAGATCAGCAAATCACTTTGCCATGTAAACTGATCATCTCAATCAAAATGCTTTGTTACAAATCACACAATTTCTCAAACCATCATCCTACTGAACAATCTACACACACACAAAAGTCCTCTAAACACATAAGATCATCACTCAAACATCAGACAGATATACATAGAGTCACTGATAACTGATAACTGATGATTGATGACTGATGATTGATGATCGATAACTGATAACAGGTAACTAATGACTAATTCATAAACCCTCATGCCTTCTTTTCATGATCATCAAGATTCTTAACACTCTAAGTGAAATCACCTTAAATCTTAAATCTTTCATCACTAAAGATATGATTATCCAAAACAAAAACCAAATCAAACCTCATAAATCGATCCATAATCAAAATATAACTCCTAATCCAATCTTCTTGAATCCGATCTTGTATCTCTCTTTCATCTCAATTCCAACAAATTCACAAAAAAAACTAAAAAAACTAATCAAATCAAATCGAATTCACCAAAAACCCGTCCCCCAAACAAAAAAGAAAAAGATTAAATCATCTGAATCATTTTTTCTATGAAAAGGATTCAATTAGGTAAACTTCCATTCGAAAGTTTTGTACGTTTCTTTTTTCGATGATCTTCTTCTTTTGAAAGGTTTGGATGATTGGAATGAATTCCATTCTCTAAATTCCTTCTTGGTTGGGTTGAAGGATGAAC